CCTTTAGAAAGATGAGACTAGAATTATTGCTCATTTCGTTACAGCAAACGTCACATGAAGAGAAGCATTGTACTTAAGTGACAATAAGCCAGTGCTAGCTCTCTGGGTGATTGTCTTGAAAAGTCACTTCACTTCCTCTAGTCATGAGCTTAATTTACCTAGCAAGGCATCCATCAGATGAAATTGTACCACATAAGAATAAAAGCAGTGAATACTCAGTGCAGATTCCTTCATTCTCCATCACGTATGTAACATTTGTATGCATGCTACACCTCAGCCACAAAATACGAAAGAAGCTCTACTAGCCTGCTGCAATTTAGTACCACATGAATATGTAAAGCAACTTAAATATTTGTTTAAACTATTATTATTATTAAGGTTTAACACAACTTGTTGCGGTTCCAGTGGTGCAAAATGATTGTGAAAATCTCATGTGGCCTGACATACCCGTATATCTGCAGCTACCTAGCTAGAAAGTCTGTGAATAGCTTCACATATGTACTTTGGAAATCATATTTCAACAGTGAACAAAATGAAAGCTTTTACTATACAGATTTCTCAATTCTACCAAATCTGTGCTCATGTAATACTGAGTTTCCATATCTTTGCAACAGAAAATCACTAGCACCAACTTACACTCCTGTTAATGGGAATTTTTCCGAGACTTGCATAGGGTGTTAGGAAGCTCATGACTGTCAAAATCAAGACAGGATTCTAGCTAGAGGGTTAATTAGTACTACAGAAGAAATTCCTTATCCTTGCCAAAAGGATAGATTGTTTCTTCTTTCCTATAACAACATAATTCCTAATCCAGGATTTTACCCACAGACAGGTGAAATATATTGTGTGTACAATGCAGATTCATCCTGCGTATCATTCCTTCCTGCCATCTTATGGAGTAAGCAGAGATGATTTTATCACATCCATCATCATCATTTTTACAAATATAAAACATTTATTTATGCATTTTTATGAGGTATCATCAAGTACTTCCATATACGATATATGTTAGGAATTTTAATTAAGAAAAGTCTACTTCTATAGAATACTAAAAGGTATCTGATAGGAAAATCTCTTAGATATAATTTGCTGTTTGGGGTTTTTTTTCCCCTCTGGGGGGAACTTTCACTCACTTCCGGATTAAAAATGAAGAGATTCTGGTAGGACTGTGGCAGGCAGTGAGTGTTCGCTGGCTATTTGTTTACTTAAAACAAGAGCACCTATTTGCCTTGAAAGACTTTTTTAAGAAATGGAGATTGAAAGAGGAGCAAATAGCACTTCCTGCTCTTACTGTCCTCTCCAAGGCAGTGGCCTAAAGTTGTCTTTAGGCCAGAGGCACTCTGAAATTCAGTTGCTGCGAAACCTGCATTTCCTGCTCTTATACCCAAATCAGGCATGACATGGTACTATCTGCTGGACCACCACACTGTTCACTGGGCTCTTATTCTCATGACTCTGCATCAACACACCACTCCCTCGTGCCGGAGCACTGGCAATGGATGCTGGAGCTATAGTTCTGGATGGCCAAAGCTCTAGTGCTTGTTTCAAATTTAAAGTAATCTACAGATCTCTCTAAATGAAGGAAATCCTTCTGAGATCAAGCTGTAGGCATAGGTACTGAATCTGTGAAAATGAAGATAATAAGCAATGAGACAGGACAGACAAATTACAGCTTCTCGGTGCCCTTTGCAGCAATTCAGCTCACTGATGCAGCGCTGCACGCACTGGAATTGGAGCTCACTTCTTGCCATAGTTATGTTCACGGCCATAAGCTTAGCTCTACCTCTGCTCCCATAGGTTTTGCTATGTGTTATTTATAGTGTAGCCTAGAACTTCATACATTGCAGCAGAGACTCAGCCGGACCTTAGAGACAGGAACTGGAACTCCGTGTCCCTGCTCTGATTTGTTCCATGTTGAGTGAAAGCCAGAGGATAGGAACTAGCATAATGTATTAGGAAGACTTTCCTGAAGCAGTAAACAATGTACCGGAAGCAGAAGACAAGCTATAAATGGATCCAAATTTAGCACTAATAAGCAGGGTTCCAGAAAAGTAACTGTCAGGGCTGAAAACATAAAGCTCACATTAACTGACTTCCCACTCAAAAACGTGAAACAGAAAACCCACTTGCACCAACAATGAGATGACATGGCTGACAGCAATTTATGCCACCAGAGAGCTAATAGACTGTGTATTGCAGTGGGAAATCTGTGTCTGTTCAAATGAACTTTATAATGAACTGGCACTTCATCTCATTGCAGCTGTGCTCTTTACTGAGTAGCTAATCATTTTTTTTTTTTGAAGTTGTGCTGCATCCTCTTAGACTCATAGAATCATTAAGGTTGGAAGGGACCTCTAGAGGTCATCTAGTCCAACCCCCCTGCACACGCAGGGTCACCTAGAGCATGTGGCAAAGGACTGTGTCCAAGCGGGTTCGGAAGATCTCCTAGGGAGAGGAACACTGCAGAAGGGTTTAAATGGATACCTATATTTAGGCTGCAGTAATATTAAACCAATTAACAATAAGTTAATTTAATCTTTTCCTGATATTGAAACATATACAGCGTATAGGATTGTATTATTAGGTTATATAGTATTATTAGCTAAATATTACCTTAGTAGAGCTCCATCAGCTTTCAACTAACCTGACACTCTTCCTGTATTTGTACTTTGCTGGACACACGCAGGCTCGCAGCTTCCTGTGTGATGGTGATAACATATGTGTGACTTTGTTGCTGGCAGCTGGAGTGGAGGGGAAGACAGAGCCCTTTGACCTGTGAAAAGCAGTATAAAGCTTATCAGATCCTCTCCAGATATCACTGAAGGAAATGGCCTGGAAGAGTTGGCCCCACATAGGAAATATATATAAAAAAAACTGTCAGTGCTAATCTTTTTGTAATGCCATTAAAAACTACTTTTGCATCTCTGAGTCCCTCTAGACAGTGTCATTAATCTGAATCAAAGTAAATTGAATCAAAGTAAAAAAAAAAAAAAAAAAAAAAAAAAAAAAAAAAAAAAGAGAGAGAGGAAGCATTGTATACCACACATTAAACAGTTTTATATCATTTTAAATGGCTCAGTCCCTCGCACTAAGAATGCTTCATTTTATGGTGCCAGAGTAATTTTTTCCTTAATAATTATTTCTCTGGTGCTTTTCTGAAGTAGACCTTAGAAGGTCATGTAATGTATAAAACTTTTCCTACTCCTACTAAACATTTATTTTCTTAACCTACGGGACCTTCTGGGAAAACCAAGGTTAAATACAAATCTGGGCTGACACCAGCTGCCAAAAAACGAATAAAAAACAAATTTGCAGGTAGTGTTAGGGTAATACCCTTGCTGCCCTGACAGATATTCTAAACAGCTAAGCTTTAAATAAAGAGAAATAGCCTGTTTTAAAGTGGCAAAACATCCATCTGATCTACCTTGTACTGTATTGTTACAAAACTAGTTAACAGCATCAATAAAGAAGTTGGAAAAAAGATCTTTCGAGAGTCAGGAAATTAGAGTGGAACTCATGCTAATGGTTTCAAATGTAAGGATGTTAGCAAAAGTAAATATTATTCCCTTCCCCAGACACCTATTACACAAGGCTATTCAGAAGTAATGTCCTCGCTCGCGAGAATGAACCTTCCACCCCACAGGGTCCCGTTATCTCTGCTGGGTTCTGTCCCAGGCATCTGCCAAACCTGAGCTTCACACTTCCGTGGAAAGGAAGTGAAGTAGAATTTGGGGGCTCTGCTGTTTTTTTTTTCCTTACATATTTCTAACTTTCATTTTTTATTTTTAAATTCTAGAAGTTCGTGAAAAGCAGCTAGCTGCCAGACCGTTAAGACTGTTATTCATAAATTACTGTTCAGTTCTAGAAGCTCACAGAAATCTCTTTGGAAGAAGCTCAGATCCCAAATTTATGGTCATTACCTAACAACTATATAATAGCAGCAGTAGTAATAAATGTCCTTCCACAGGGAGATGTGGGAATTGAAATTTCAGCTCAAATTCAACTCAAAGCTTTTTTCCCTAGGCTGACTAATAACCAAAAGTAAACAAGGCACCAGTTAGATAGCACGCTTCCTTTTCAGAAGGGCTGCAAGCTGCAGGGGTAAAATTACTGAAAACACCAGTGTATGCGACATCCAGTCAAAATGCTAGTAGGAACTTTAACAGAAATTAAAATAAGCACTGAAAATTGTATAACCCACAGGACAACACATGGTGCTTAGCTATGGTGTTAAAACCACGAGAGAAAAGACCTGCTGTTGGCATGCTACTGTATGGCTGCAAAATATATAGGAACAAGTTTTAGGTCTAGTGGTGAACAGAAAAGGATTTTCTTTTTCGCCCTCTTAAGAATAATTTTTTGTTCCCTAAACTGCTATTTGGGGGCAGGGGGCACAAAGTGCAAAGTGATTCTATGATGAGGATGAAGAAAAGAACACGAACAAGTGGATCCGAGGCACTTCACAAAACGTCTGCCTTATCCAGCGTATATATTACGCTCTGAGGAGTTGCTACAAAGCGCTCACACCCAATGATTTGGTCCACTGCTGTCTTACTGGCTCCCAGTCCTTTAACCTTGCCCCACTGGTAGGGGCTTTTTGATTTGGTTGAAAGAATACGCATTATAGGATTACCTGACACAGCACTCGGGTACAGCAAAGCAAAGACCTCACTCTGCACGGTGTCTCTCAGCCTTTACTCATTTTCAAACCGTATTTCACACTCATCACTTCACTCCTTCCACTCTGACTTGCACACTGGAGTTGGCTCAAACCGAATTGGTGACCAGTTCCCTGTAAAACTCCAGCAGTGCTTCCCACAGCCCCCCTTTCCTGCCCCAGGTGCCAGGATCCCCAGCACTTTCTTCTACACCTTGCCATTCAGCAGACCCGTCTAACCTTGTTCCCACCTCCAAACCCACCCAGGTCAGGGTCCCGCAGCCAGATCAGCTTTTCCTTATCTACACCCTTCCTCCAGCATCCGAGACTCAGCTCCCCGCTGATGTGGCACAAAGCCAGACGTGGCCTTTGCCTGCCTTCCCACAGGCTCCCTGCCCTGCTCCGGGCCCTGTCTCGCTCCCGCTGCCCCTCCGGGATCTCTGCTCATCCCTGGCGTTCCCAGCAGGGCTTAGCTCCTCCTGAGCCCCCGCAGTGCTTCGGGGAAGCCTTGCGCAAGCCGAGAGAAAGGCTCGCTTGGGCCTCTGTGAGCGTAACAAGCAAAGGGTGTTGGGCCCCTAATTACCGCATTATTTCTGTTTATATTCCAGGAAAAACCTGCGGAAGGGATTTCACCATCGAGACTAGCAATTGTTTAAAGAACTGACAGAAATGTTTAGCAGAAAGTGAAAATAAGCAGACACGAGTTCGAGAGCTCACAGGAGATGCAACAGTTCCCCCTGGCGACTGCGAAGGAAAACAAACAGCACCACTTATCTTTTCAGGCAACGTTTCCAGAGCTACTCAGCTGTACCAAAGGAAAGGACCGGATAAACCACGCGTGTCTCCGCTACAACGAGCGCCAACAGACTGTCAGGGCACAGAGGGCACAGCCCGCTGAGGAGGAGCCCTTACACTTCTGCCCGGAGCCGCCCCGCC